GTGGCCTCCCAGGCTGGAACTGCTGTGCCACCGCCCCTCAGGAACGTTCCATAGCCCTTCCTTTCCTACAGAATACTTTTGCCATCCATGAAATCCTTGGCATTTTTGGGGAGGGATTGTCAACAGTTTCACTGGTCATGATGGCAGTTTTGTGATGTCCACTAGGTATTGGATGGAGACATCTAACTTTGTTTTTCAAGACTACTTAACAATTGTTTAGTAACAACTACTGATCTGTGCTTGATTTGAAAGCTCAATCAAGGGGATTTAATGTACCATTATTCATAAGCCATTCATTCCATGGTGTTTCTATTTTATTTTTGTGTGAGCTAAGAGAAGAGGTAGAAACCTCCCCCACACTTGAAAAAAATGGAAGATTTATTTTAATTATGCCAGCTTGGCTTGTGTTCCTCTTATAAATTATAGCTCCCAGCAGTTTATTATAAATGCTGACATTCTCTGTGTGGAAGGAAGCTTTTTTTTGTGCTTACTCTTTTCAGAATGAGAACTAAGTTCTGTTATTTAGCTTCTTTATTATGAACTTACATTTAAAATGAGGATTTTGAAATACTCTGCCTTGACAAGGTTTATTTTTCTATTAATAGTGGTAGAATTGTGTGACAGCTACCAGTTTATTCTGTGCCACTACAGCAGTGCTAAATGAATACTTGCGTCCAGCAGTTCCACTCTGAAATTTTTTCTTCTGGGTGTAGAATTACAGTTGTACTGTTTTTTGTGGGGTTTTTTCTTGCAGTATGTCCTTAAAGACTAGGCCTGAACAGTCAGGCATGGAATAGCAAGGAAAGGGTATTAATTTTAAATTAAAAAAACTGATTAGGATTTTAAAAGATCTCTTTAAAATGAAAGATCTCACCTGTTTTTATTTATCTTGGTTGTGGAAGGATTAGGAGCCAGTCATAGAAACAGAGTTGGGTGCACTGAGATCAGATAAAGGGAGGGAAGAGTGTGGGTCTGGTTGGACAAAGAGTCTGAGAATAGGAATCAAAGAGTGCCTATACATAAGTGCAGAGGCTGCTCTGACGTGTTGGAGTGTGTTGGAGCTGACTCGAGTCTGCTGGAGTGTGGCAATTACTGTGCTCCAGCATCCTCCCGAATCTTGTGTATCAGCGTCTCCATGCTTAAAAATGGTGGTGGAGGCACTTGAACTAAAGCTTGTCGAATGAGGTTTAGTTCAAGCATCCCCGTTGCCATTTTTAAGTGCAGAGATGCTGACACGTGAGATGTGGCAGTGCTTTAATTAGAGTGGCTCTCAGAGCTGCTCTAATAAAAGTGCCTCCCCCTCCACCCTGGGAGCACATGTAAAAGTGCCCAGCCCAAAGCTAGGGGAACAACTCATGTGAAGGAAGAAGAACTGATTTGCTGAGAAACCAGGGCACTGGGTTAGAACTGGGGTTGGCTGAACAAAGAAACTAGGACAAGGAGAAAAGGTAATGGGAGACTGCCACAAACTGTTGGGAAGGGGTTTTGGGGAGACAGAAGCTGATGTATAGAAATTCATGGAGGAAGACTGGATCTGGAACCAGTGAAAGAAAAACTAGGGAAGGGTGCCAACTGCAGGTTTAAAGAAGGGGAGATACTACAGTTTCAGATGACAAACAAGGATGGGGCTCTGAGACTAGCTGGAAAGGAGATTGGAAAGGAGAGTGAAAACGGAGACTGAGATAAGACTACATTAGCTAGGCCAAGAGATTGGGGCTGGAATAAGAAGCCTAAGGTGAGAAGGCTGGAGCTGGGTAGATAAGGAGAATGGAGTAGGGAGGAAGAACTACAAGGGTGGAGAAGACAGAACTGGGACAGGAACAGGTTGAAGGGGATGTGGAAGGAAAGCAGGGGTGGGGCGAGGACAAGGAGAAGGGTTTGGGCACATTAAGGTACTCTTGCCTCCAGAGTCTTGAATAAAACCCATGATTTCTGAGGCTTATACTTCCTTTGCTGTCAGCAGATTTGTGTCAAACCCACTGGCCAAGTGTTTGTTTTCTCTTTGTCTGCAACTGGCACATATGGAGAATGATAGTCTATTTATTGCTGTCTGTTATCTCTGGTGGCAGAGGTCTGTGTGAAGATCTCAGATTTCAGTCCTGGCAACCAGGTAGTTGCCAATATGATGCCTTATGAGGAAATTTCTGTTCTCTCCAGTGTGTTTTTTTTCAAAATTGTAAGAAACTGCATAGAAATTGCACAATAAGTTTGGAAAGTGAAATGCTGAGGAGTTAGGAGGTATGTGCCAGAAGCAAGGATGCTTGTACCACCTTAATTTGCCCCCTGGCATGTATGACTTCAGACACTGTCTTTTAATTCAGTGATCTCATGCTGTTTTTCTCCAGGACTTCTGTCTCCTGGGATGATCACTGCTCAGTTAACAAGAAGCTGTTCAGAACTCGTTTCCTTTTCTTTTCCAGCATAGTGTTCAAATCCTGGTTCTCCCTTCCCTGCCCCCCCACCCATGGTGCCCATCACTGTAGTATCTTAGTGTCTCAGAAACATTAATGGTATTCACTGCCATTTCAGTGAAATATGAGGTTGGTATTAGCTCCCATTTTATCCCCACTTTACAGACGAGAAAACAAGAGTCCTACAAACAAAGTTCTGCATAATTTGCTATACAGCTCTGATTCATCTTCAAAAAAGATCATTCCTGTGCATTGAATGAGATGAGGGTCCTGAAGGGAAAAAAGTGTATGATCCTGTAAATAAGGACAGTAGCACATACAGCCAAGCTTAATTCTTTTATTTTCTTACAGCCTTAATAATCGTATTGAAGCATAGTTTCTGTGACATTTAAGATTAGGCATTGATATAAGACTTTAAAGCATGTGAATCTATAACACCATGGTTTTTTTAATATATATTCTCTGTAGCATAACATTGAAATATCTTTAAAAGCTTTGTCTGTATCTAGAGTACAGGGCTGGGTGTAGGCATAGTCTTGATTCATATTTTTTGTTTTCCTTTAACTCTAGACATCTGCTCTTGTACATGATTGACAGGTATCTAAAATCTTTTATTACAGTGACAAACATTGGCCTAAAAGATTAATTAATACCCTGCAGTTAAAATGTCATTTCAGTTTAATGTTGATTTGCCAACTATTTATTTTTCCCCTTTGGATTTTGTGACTCAGAGCCATTGAAACCTTATGGTTTATTTATGTGGATTACAGTAATGATTTTCTGTTGGTATGTATATTTCTGAAGTACCACAGCTAAAATTGACTAAAATTTTCAAGGCTAGATTTGACCCTAACATTGAGGTTCTCTTGCTGCAGATTATCAGTATAGAACAGCTGCCCAAGCCTGTGATCAGAGGACTGCTATTGGTTTGGCTCGGTCCAAGGATATTGATCTTCGTTTTTTCTTACCTCCACCTCCCTTACCAAAAGTAAAGGATGTAAGTAAATGAAAATGTGGGTATAACTTGAGTCTTCTGAACTGCCTTTGCTAGTCAAGACAGCAAAGTGGAGTTGTTTTAAAACAAAACAACTGATGGATAGTAAAATGAAGATAGATCTTGGAGTTCTGACATGCAAGAACACAATGATGTGATGGGATAAAACCTGTTGTTTTCACATGTTATGATATGGAACCCAAAATATTGCTGTCCTCTTTCTAGAATTTTTATCTAGTTGGTTTGCTGACTGAAAAGTCACAGAAGTATTTTGAGGTGAGATTTACTATTACTGCGATAAACTTAATTTGACTTATCTCTGTTCCCTATAACATTTGCAGCACTGCAAAATTAAAACTTGTACCAAAAGCTTCATTAAGATTGAATTTAGCTCACTGACATGTATTGCATGTCAGCAAAATCATAAAGAAGCAGGGAAATAACCGTTTCAGCAAATATTTTTTATCTACAATAACCTAGTCCCATGAGTTTAACTCCCTAAATGCCTTCAGAGATTTTTACAGGTCTTTAGCACGCTTTAGATGGAACTTTCCCACCCATAACAACCATCACCCTGTCAGCCTAGCTTTATCTGTGGGCATGTGGTAAAGCTCACCTTTCTCCTAGGCTTTTGGGTAAGCAATTAACTTAGGGTTGAATGGGTTTAACTTTATTTTAATTCCATATTAACTGGGAGTATTTGTGTGTCAAGGCAGGTTGAGTAGTCCTTGTACTCTTGTACTTCAGTGCAATACAGGATATCATTTAGCTTGAATCTTGTTCTAGCCAGTAAGAGGGATTGATTGAGAATATGAAGGTGATTAAAAACTTAGAGGAAGTGGTCTTGGTACAATATGACTCACCACAGCTTACGCCTTATCTAGAGAATTGTGTGCAGTTCTGGACTTCACATTTTAAGAAGGATGTGGAGAAGTTGGAGAGGGTCCAGAGGTTGGAAAAAAATATGGTATAGGATTTGGCAAACAAGCCATACAAGAAAAAGTTGAGAGGACAAGGCAAATTTACTTTGAGAAAAGGGGAGTAAGATTAGGGAGTGGGGGTACATGATAGCAGTTTTCAAATATTTGAAGAGTTGCCATAACAAACAAGGAGAACAATTGTGCTAAAGTTACAGAAATGAGAAAATACGTAATTTTTGTTTTCTTGAATAAAGTTGAACCATATAGTTCAGAGGCAGGCAAAATATGGCCTGTGGGCTGGATCTGGCCTGCCAGGCCATTCTATCCAGCCTTCGGGGCTCCTAAACATTTAGAAAATTAATATTTATCTGCTTCTGGCTGCCTATCAAAGATGACAGGAGCTAGGGGCAGTTGGACGCAGGGGAAGCCAGTAGGACCCAGCAGGCAGGCCCACCCAGCCCCGCCCCACCGCCCAGAAGCCTCTGCCTAGCAGAGCCTTCTGGCTTGGGACCCTGAAGCTGTTCCTGCCTCCCTGTGCCAGTGGGAAATTCAAGTAAGAGTCGGGGGGAGGGAGGCAGGGGAGGACCGCGGCAATCATTCCAGTCCTTGGGGCCAGACCAGGCTGGCTCCTGCTGAGTCCTGTGGTCTGGCCATGCAGTTGGGAGCCATATGGTACAGGAGCACCCAGTGGGCAGGCAGGGAAGCACTGAAAGTGGCCACAGGTGGGGGGTAGTAGCAGCAGGTGGGCAGGAGCACAGCAAGAGCTGGGCAAGAGTGCGGGGCCCACGCCAGTGTCCTGGGGCCAGCAGGAGTGTGGGGCAAGGCCAGCAGGGGCTCTGGAGCCGGGCTGGCTCCCTGCTCTCACTGGTGGTGCAACCCAGCCTGGCTCCGATGCTCCTGCTGCCCTGCCCTAGGCCCCACTGGCCCTGGGACATTGGCATGGGCCCCGTGCTCCCACCCAGCCTTCGTTGTGCTCACATGTGCCTGCTTACTCCCATCCCTGCCCCCACCACTGCTTTCATCACTTCTTTGCCCACCTGCTGGCCACTCCAACACCATGTGGCACCCAACTACATGGCCAGACCACAGGAGTATGGGGCCTGTGCTGATGCCCCAGGGCCAGGAACAGAAGGGTGTGTGCGTGTCCGCGTCCATGCAGTGAGGGAGGGAGGGAGAGCAATGAGGGAGGGACAGAGAGTGTGTGTGTGTGTGTGTGTGTGTGTGTGTGTGTGTGTGTGTGTGTGTG